TTGCTACAAACTTTTTTGCATTGTCCTCATACTATTACTAATACTACTATCAGTACTAGACCCAATTAGTTTACTAAACAGCCGGCCCTCCTTTTTTTTTTTATTCACTGCAGGGTAGTAGTAGCAAGACCCCTCTTTTAGTAAATACCTGGATTATTAACTCATTGTGTTACATTGATGTAATTCCGTTGATTTTTTAGCCAAGCAGTTTACTCGGAAAAAGATGGCTCCAGAACGGAGGAAACGGCCCCACTTTTATCAATCCCAATCGGGCGAAAAATTCATATGTAACATACGTCATTTAGACAGTCCGCATGCCCATTTTCGAGTTGGTTAGCCAAGTATAAGTAATGATTGCCAAATGAGCAATCACAAAGAAACAATACCTGTACCAACAATAGGTACAAAGGTCAATGATGCAATGAGATAATCGCTATACTTGTTTAGCTGAAAATATGGGTTTGGGAACCGAACATGTTGACAAGAATCTAGGCAAACCTCCCAAGCAAAAATATTCGGATAGAATACGTCATTAGATTTTCCGTGGAAAAAGATTTGATTCCAACTTTGCTAAAAGTTGATCTCGTTCAACGCCAAAAGTTCGTTCAGATTGATAGATTTTCGATCGACCGAACAGGATAGATGTCCTAATAATAGTCTCGTATTAGTATGCTTATATTCTATTAATAGGCCTATAATTCTCACATCCTAACCGCTGTTGTGTTGGATAAAACAGCAAATGCAGATGTTCTTTTACGAGACAAAAACCTTATTGTAGGTTTTCTGTTCTATAGAACATAAACAATTATCATGTCCTCGTGTTACCGAATTAAAAAGAATGCTTTTTACCTAAATATGGTTTAGTTATCCAATTTCTCACCCGCGATCTTCTTCAACCGCTTTCCATCGTGTCAAAAATGATGGCAATAATCGGGGTCAATACTCGTCAAATTTTCACAAAGAGACCGTTCAGTGCTCTCCTTATATCTAGCAGACATGCTAGAAACTATTCGACTCTGTTTCGTCATGGAAGCTTGAACCTTGTTAAACAAACAAATTTTGCAGGCGTGTTCATACCGAAAAATAAAACGAGCTACTTAACAATAAGATATTATAATGGAAATATACCGCCGGGTATAACTCAATCAACTATGACAAATTGAGAATTATATATACTACATCTGTAAAACTAATCGTCCTTGTGCTGTCGACGGCTTTGTTCTAGCAGGACAATTCCGAATGGCACCACCGAACGCAAAAGGATCATCGGCTCTTGAGGAATTTGGATATGATCTGACCAAGTTAGCAGCCGAAGGAAAACTCGATCCTGTTATTGGAAGAGAAGAAGAGATCAGGAGAACAATACAAGGTGTAGGATTAGATTGAAATACGTGACGTTATAAATAAAGAATAATCGTAATAACCTCAAGATTTTTTATTGCTCAATTATTTTATCGTACAAATAGTGTAAGTATTACCACAGAAATGATCATGTCCCAATTCATATCTGGTTATTTACCCCATGTCTACAACACGACATCAGGTTGGCACGAAGAACAAAAAACAATCCTGTGCTTATTGGAGAGGCCGGAGTCGGAAAAACTGCCATAGTCGAAGGCTTGGCTCAGCGCATAGTCAATGCAGAAGTACCAGAGAGCATCAAAGATAAAAAAGTGATCGCGCTGGATCTCGGTTCAATCATTGCAGGATCTAAATTCAGGGGAGAATTTGAAGATAGGCTTAAAGGGATACTGCAAGAGGTCCAGGAAGCAGAAGGAAAGTTGATTTTATTCATTGATGAATTACATAACTTATTGGGATTAGGAAAAGCAGAAGGAAGTATAGATGCCGGCAACTTATTGAAACCAGCCTTGGCTAGAGGAACATTAAGGTGTTGTGGCGCTACGACGATTGATGAATATCGCAAATATATTGAGAAAGACCCTGCACTAGCAAGGAGATTTCAATCGGTAATGATAACTGAGCCGACGGTCGAGGATACGATATCTATTTTACGGGGGTTGAAAGAAAGATATGAAGTACATCATGGTGTTCGCATCAGTGATAACGCTATTGTCGCTGCAGCGACGTACTCTCATCGGTACATTACAGACAGATTTCTTCCGGACAAAGCTATTGATTTAGTCGATGAGGCATGCTCTAAATTGAGATTACAGCAGGAGAGCAAACCAGAAGCCCTTGAGAACCTAGATAGGCAAATCATCACTCTCAAAATCGAGCTAGAATCACTGCGTAAAGAAGTGGATCCGGTCTCGCAACAGAGGAGGGAAAAGATTCAAAAGGAGCTTCAGGCAAAAACACGCGAATCAGAGAGATTGAGCGCGCTTTGGCAAGAAGAAAGGGCCAAGTTGGAAGAAATTAAGAGGGTAAAGTCTCAGTTAGAACAAGCGCGTATTGAACTAGAAGCGGCTCAACGAAGCGGCAACTTTACTCGTGCAAGTGAATTAGCCTACGGCGTTATCCCCGACCTAGAAAAAAAACTTCCTGCAGACATTGGTGAGGATGAGACGCCTGATTCACTGATTCACGAAAGTGTTACGGCTGACGATATTGCATTGGTCGTGTCTCGGATGACTGGTATTCCTATTCACAATTTAATGAGAAGTGAAAGAGATCGGTTACTTCACATGGAAGATAAGTTGAAAGAGAGAGTAGTTGGTCAGAACGAAGCTATCGCGGCCGTTTCAGAAGCAGTGAGACTGAGCCGGGCCGGATTGCAAAGTCCAACTAGACCCATTGCCTCTTTCATGTTCCTGGGTCCTACCGGTGTGGGTAAGACAGAGTTGTGCAAGGCTATCGCCGAGTTTTTGTTTGATACGGAATCAGCTATCGTCAGAGTTGACATGAGCGAGTATATGGAAAAGTAAGCAACGGGGATGCATGTCTCGTGATTGTACAAAAATACTAGTTTTTTTGTTAAGACTGTTATTATTACTAGGTTTGCGGTATCGCGACTTGTTGGTGCCCCACCTGGGTACGTTGGATATGAGGAAGGAGGAGAATTGACAGAGGCAGTGAGAAGGAAACCTTTTGCTGTAGTGCTACTGGACGAGATGGAGAAGGCGCACAGAGGTACTTAAATTTCGGACAAGAAGATGCATCCGGTTTGACTTAACAATTTAATCAGTTGGAAAATTAATTATTTTGAAACATAGATGTAGCGAATTTGTTACTCCAGGTGTTGGATGATGGACACATTACCGATTCGCAAGGGCGAAAGGTATGACTGTTGTGATAGCGTTACTTGTCGTAAAATGATTCCCATTTAAAAAAATTTTATTTTTTCACAAGATTGATTTTAGGAATACTATAATAATCATGACAAGTAATCTCGGAGCCGATATTTTAGCTT